ATTTTTCAAATCAATTTACGAATACACCTCGAATCAAAAACAAAAGATCCTTTTCAAATCAATTCAACGATTTGACTATATTCTACTGTTACATGTGAAATATGCGCACACGTGGAAGCATCATTTTCACATTTGAAAGTGGAAAATATCGTTCTATCTTTCTCATAGGACAAGTGTTGTAGGTAGTACAGTACGAGTGTGTTTGTGTCATCGAATTCCCAGCTGTTACGTTACACGCACGAATAATTTTCGTCGTTGAAACGAACGACGCGATGGAATTTTGCACAATGGATGCATCGACGACAACAAACTCCTCCTCCTCCTCCTCCTCATCCTTCCCCCCCCCCTTACACCACCCTTCTCTTACATACGTCTTCTCGATTTCCTCTCGTCTTCTTGGTTCGTTTTCTCTTTCACGCACACACACACACTCTCTATCTCTCTCTCTTTCTCTTTCTCTCATTCTATTTCTATTCTCCTCTTCTATTCGCTTGATGTCACTCGAAACGTTTCTAGACGTGGCTCACGTGAAATCGTATATGTATAGGTAAAACATATCTATGTAGATGTAAGCGCGAGCAATGCATAATTCGCGCCGCGAACGACGGGCGTTTCATGCGTCGAGTGTCGTGCAAGTATAATCCGGAGTCCAATTAGCGATAATTACGACGTGAATTGGGAATCCCTAATGGGGACGAGGCCCTGCAACAGGCCACCACCACCACCACCACCATTCCCCATAGTTTCGTTTCGTTACTCGTTCGTTCATTCGTACGTTCTTTCGTTCATTCGTTTGTTCAACCAGACCACCACCGTTCGCTCATTCGTCATCGTGATTTTTCAAAATGATCATCATCATCATCATACACTAGCACGAGATTATATTCGGCTAATGTACACAATCATTGTTTGCTTTTGTTAAACATTTTCTCGATGAAACATTATATTTAACAAAAGTCGTCATTTATGATAATAATTTGATATTATTTCAACGTTTGTAATGAGATTAAACGAGATAATATATGATTTATTGGGGATTTATTATTTTACATTTATTTTGATTTCATTTGATTTGATTTGATTTGATTTTATCTGAACAAACGTTTGGATATACCAAAACTGTCGCTAATTTTGGAAAATTGTTTCAATTATTTTTCTTTTTTTTCTTTACAATGTCCCACGAATTTTGTTCTTTGTTTTATATATCTTAATCCTTCTTTGCATGATGATGGAAATTTCAATGATAATATTTAGTCAACAAAAAAAGGTACTCAAAACGCTTGTACTGTATATTTGTTGTTGCTGGCAACCTTTTAAGCGACTATTGCCTACAACAAAACGCAGTTGTCAAAAAATAGCACTAGGATTTTTTTTTAATATTTTTCCTTTAATCTAGAGCATTAATTACATCACCCTGATATATTTAAAAAAAAAAAGAAAAAATCATGCAAAGAAGGGTTAAGCGTATATTTACAATACGACCAATCAAGTCATGGTCTTGTCAAGATTTCAAAACAAATGATTTATACTAATTATCCATATTTCATTTTCAATTATTCTAAGATATTCACGATGAAAGATGTCTAAATAACTTTGATGACTTAAAACCATTATGATTTTCATCACCCTTACGAGATATGATTTTTGTTTCTTTTTATGAGAAAACGTCCTTTGCTAAAATATATACGAGAAATAAATCGGTATAGCATAGTTTGAAATGAAACATAATTTCAGGACTAACATTTAATCTTCCATAATTAACTTCCGACGCTTCTAGAAATTACAATTCCACAATGTTACACGAAATTGATTTTCGCTTTGTTCGCGATTCCCAGGTCGCCGAAAGCTTTCCTCCGAAGTAACACATGTCACGAGGTAGTCCCTATTACTATTAGTGTTGGTATTGGGTGTAGATGTTGGTGGTAGCGGGCAATGGTTAGTGGGCAGTCAGAAAATACTGGGCAAAGCCCATACGAGAAAATTACACCACCGTCGTCGTGGGCCAACGTGTTCACTCACTCTCACTCTCACTCTCTCTCTCCCCCTCTCTCTCTCTCTCTCTCTGCCTGTCTACTCTAAACTAGTGCTATTCAAACTGTATGCGTGGGAGAAACTCATGGGAATACTGGTGCACACTGTTTCCCGAGGTTAATAATTCGCTTATTAATAATTGATCCCAATTTGCATATAATTACAGTCCCGTAATTATGAAATTGTACGACATTATGAATCGGATCATTGTTATTCTAATAGAACGTTTTCACCTATATAAACGAAAATTCAATTAACAATCTTCTAAGCTTGTCGTAAGTTTAAACCGTTGACAAAGACTCAAAACTAGTCGTTGACGCTTGTATTACCGACGTTATTATTACACGACTGTATAAGGGAATAAACTGCATCGTATAAAATCGTTTTACCTTTAACAACAATTTGAAACCTTTCGAATAAGGAAAAGCAAAGGTCCGAGAATTATTTCAACGATCAATTAACGTTCGTAATCATTTGTTGGAACAGGTAAAAGTTAATTACTAGGAAGGTTCGTTCGTTCATTCGGAGAATAGTTAGCGGATTGCGGCAACTTAAGTTTTCGTGTTTAGATCTAACGATAAAACGGAAAGGAAAGGAAAAGAAATAAAAAGAATGGAAGAGAAAGAAAAAAGAAAAAACAGAAAAAAACAGACGTTAGACGTTCTAATCGCGTTATACGTTGACTACTAGTTCAACACCCGAATGACTGGTGATATCTTCCTTGTGATCTTCGCTTACGTGGCGATCATCAGTCAAGGGAAAGGGATGATGGAAGGTGGTTAAGAGGGGAGAAAGAGTACTACCAGCCCAGCCAGTGTTGGCACCTCGACGAATAGGGTCATTTGTAGACACGAGTATTACAGACGGGTGTTAGGCGAACGGCCAAGAAGCAACCATTGGCTAAGGGAAAGTTCGTTCGATGTGATTTAAGGCTCGTCTATCGGGTGATGATACCTTAAGATTAGTTACTCGCTAGATCATAATTTTACCTGAGTCCACGCGTACTACCAAATTTTCTCTAATTCGTCTCAGTCAATTTCGAACGTTACGAATCATTTCCTCCGACTTGGCCCTTTACTATTAATTTTTCTTTCCTAACCCATTCCCCCCTCCCCCCCCAACCATATCCTAGCGTACCATAAGTAATCAGACTTTCCAAAAGAAAACTTTGATGATGCGATGGAATAAGTTGGTTGAACGATTTGATCGATTGAACAAACTGTAACTTATATGTGGATCTGTGTGTGTATATATGTGTTTCATTGAAAATAACGAAGAAACGTCGATGATAAACGTTTACCAAGTTATAAGCTCGTAATAGTATGGATGAAAGTTATCAAATGGTAAACTCGAAATAAGTCAAGCGAAATTTTGGTGTAAAGATGTATTAATCTGTGATATTCTTATTGGTGTTAGTTTCTAGTCACGTTCGTTCGCAAAACAAGAAATACCAAACCCCTACTCTCTTTCTCCCTTTCTCTCTCTCTATGGGTATAATACTTTATACGTTTTAATAAAGTATTATAGCATCCCCTAAAATCGAACACCCATCGTATATTACCGATCGCAATTACGATATTCGTCGTGAGATCGTACCTACGTCGTTAAATGCGATATTGAATATTGCCATATTGCGTTATCGTTCAAAACAAGGTATGCACGATACACACGCTCTCTCCTCCCCCTCCTCCTGCTCCTGCTCCTCTTCCTACTCCTCCTACTCCTCCTACCTTAATTGCAAACCTTGCCGATGCTTCTATTAAACGTAATCACGTTATAGCACCCTTTAGATGAAGATTAGTGTTTCATTGCAATATCATTATAACGTTCTTCCTGCTTACCTTGAATAGGATTATTAACGGGTTGCTTATGCCAACGACGACGTGGTTGTTGGTCAATTTACCAACAAAAAAAAACAAAACTAAAATCATTAATAAATAAGTATCGTAACGGAAATTGGACATTTAAAAAAGAAACTAGAACTTAGTTTTGATTAATTGAACGTTTAGTTCCTTTATTGGGATTTATTCAGCAACTTAATCTCTAAAGTTCAGCGTCTTTTATTTCATTTGAACAGACATACATTCTTGTAATATATATTACAATGTTTTTAAATTACAATATATTTTTTGAGAGAAACGAGAGAAATAATTAATTGAAAATGAAAATCATTTACCGTACAAAACTAAGATAATATTTAAAAATTAATCATTGGCCGCAATAATTTGTTAATATTTATCGTCAATCATTTTCATCGGTATCGCGATTATAAATAAATTATGATAGTAGGAATTTTTGAGAAAGACTTACAGGGATATGTTGTTTTTCGTGAAAACAAACGAACGGTAATTCAACGATTCGTGGGAATCGTAAGTTTCAACTGGGAATTGTAAAGTTCGTTTTGTTTGATAGAGAAAAAGAGAAATAGAGAGAGAGAGAGAGAGAGAGAATGAGAGGAAGAACAAACATATTGCTTAAGCTTCATGGACTTTCGTGAAAGCATTGCGGGGATTGCTCGGAATGAGAGAATAGTTATGCAGGTAAAACAACTCATTCGTAAACTAAGCGGGGGGGGGGGRGRGGKGGAAACGGGGGGCAGGTTGTAATACCAACGTGCACGCGGCCACTGTTAGCGAACATCTTTTACCATCTCCATTCGCGTGTCTGAAGAGAGTGAAAAGAGGGAAAAGGAGAGATAGGAATTAGTCGAGGATATAAGAGAAAAGTAGAAATGTTAGATAGAACTGTGGAATCATCGAACTTTTGGCAATTCGTAAACTAACGAGCAAATCGGTCGAATTCGTATTGCCATAGTTTGAACATTCGAGTCCTGTAAAAGGGAGTCGTACTCTGCGCGTGCAGATAACTTTTCGATTAAATTTCCTCTATACGGAATCTTTTATTTTTGTCTTTCATTCATTTGAATCTTTTCTTATTTTTCTTCATTTATTTTCGTTTTTATGTTACAGGATGTTGCTTCGTTACATTTTACACGAGAAAAGCGGCTTTGGACGCACAGAATGCATTGCACAACGTAAAGACTTTCAACGGGGTAAGTACACATTGGTATTTCTCTCCTGAAGGATTATTACATTATATAATTCATTCGAACGTAACAGGATCATACGTAATTCGTTTAATGGTCCGTTAGCCGTATGATTGTTCAATATTACGGATATATAGAAGCTAATCGAATAATTGATTGTCACAGTCGTGTTGGCTAGTCGTTAATTAATTATATGATTCGGCTCGATACCTTGAAAAATTCAATTCTCTTTGCTCCAACGGTAAATGAAAAAAAATATATCCACGTGGACTCGTATATATAACGGGTGGAACATTTATAAAACTAGACTATCTTGTGTATCGATGATTAAAAAAAAAAAAAAAACATATATATGTATCCATACACACGAAACAAATACAAAAGTCCAACTTTTCTTTCTATGAATAAAAATAATAAAAATAAAAATAACGTAAGAGATCGTTCAAACACGATATTATTATACGTATCTAACTTAATCAAATCAAATCAAACGTAACACATTTCCATTCCTATCACAGATAAAAATAGATTTATTCAAGTATCCAATTTGTAATGTCTCACCTAGTATATTAATGTAAATGTAGATGATAGAAATACTCGCGTTTGGTTCTCTCCAAATGTTCCCTACCTCCCTCCCTCTACCACCTAACACAACCCACCCACACACCCATCCTCCCTCCCACCGTTCCCACGAAATTCGAACGATATACAGATGTTCTGTAATAGGAGGATGGGGGGGAAACGTTTTGGGTAGAGTAGACGATGAGGCTGGCCGGTGATGTTATCCTCGTTCGATTCGGATCAATGCGGCAAACTCAGCGGCTAAGCCGAACGGAATGTTTACGCGGACAATTATCCCAGTACCGATGATGATTCGCTCGATCGAGTATTGACCGAGTAATGAATATTAATACGGTTGATCGTTCGAATAAATTATTCAAATCGTCGCCGAGGTCGAACCGATCGATCCTTCGACCAATCGGATCTCCCCGATTCTCTTCGTTGAAAACGCTCGTTCACCCTTCCACCCCCCCCCACAACCCGGTTTCTACCATTTCTCTGCGACCAAACACACATTCACCCACCCACCCCTCCCCCTGCCCCTCCTGGTCGACATCACACAGTGTAAATATATCGACCACGTTGTATTGAAAGCACGTTTGCGGTAATCGATCGATTCTACTACGTTTCTTCCCCTTTTTTTACTTCTTTTTTTTTTTTTTTTTTTTTGGCGTAAAACAAGACAAGATTTTTACACCGTAGTGTACAATAATTGAAATGTTCAAATTCCTACGAGACAATTCGTATTAATTTGACTTTTGTTNGTCGACATCACACAGTGTAAATATATCGACCACGTTGTATTGAAAGCACGTTTGCGGTAATCGATCGATTCTACTACGTTTCTTCCCCTTTTTTTTTTTTTTTTTTTTTTTTTTTTTTTGTGGCGTAAAACAAGACAAGATTTTTACACCGTAGTGTACAATAATTGAAATGTTCAAATTCCTACGAGACAATTCGTATTAATTTGACTTTTGTTATCAGTTTGTTAGAGAATAGTATAGAATTATTAATTGATGATTTATGATTTGATGATTTAATAAATGATTAACCGCGAAAATTCGATAGGCCGTTTCTTTTAATTCGAATTAGTGGAGATTCTATTGAAATCTTAGTAACACCGATGATCGTAACGAATAGAACAAAAGTAACTACTTCCATAGGGTAATTACTGGTAACTTTCTAGGTAATTACGTGATGTCATTAGGAACATTTAGCCATGCGGGGATACACAATCACCATTCTCCTCCTCTATCTTTCTTCTTTTAACGTTTATAGCTTAACGTACGAGAATAATTATCATCGTTCCCAAGAACGAACAATCTCCGAGTTTAACTATATAGGATTTTAAAGTGTTCTATAAAAAGACAAAAAAAAGAGGAAGCTCGTTATTCTTACATTATCCATTATTCGTTCAATTTCATTCTGATAATATGACGTTTATAAGTATTGCACATCTCGTTAAATATTATTATTTAAAAAAATAAACTCTAAAACAAAATGATATATATATATATATATAATATAATAATATAATTTTAATAAACATTTTAATTAAATATCATATTTTAATTTATATATAATATAATAATATAATAATACAATTACATAATTTAAAAGAAAGAAAAACACAAAAAATGTGATAATAAAATTTCCAAACTCGTATTTTATATTCATTGAATATTCGATGTTACAATTTTGAATATGTTTCATTGATAAATAAAATTGATTCATAATTGAACGATAATATATATAATATATATAGTAAAAAATACGTATAACCAATCGAGTAGTATTCGCAATGAGTAAAGAAGTTGCTACGTTAGACGTAAGGCGGCGCCACTAACTATACTCTTTCATTCATTCATAAGAATGGGAAACCCCTACGCACGTTTTCATTCTATCGTATCGCATTAATTCTTCCTTTGACAGCATAATATATAAAAGTTTATAATAAAAATAAAATTAAAAAAGAAAAAGATAGGATGAGATATACACATCATGGTTTTATCCACGTTCAGATTTCTTTTTAATTTACTTTCCTTATATATTTCGTAGATTGAATCGATCATGCGAAAAGGAACAAGGGTACCCTAGAGAATTCTTCCCTTCACCATATCCAACCACCATCATCATCATCATTATATATATATATATGATTTATTGATATATTTCTCTTTCCATCTATCTATTTAAACAGACCATTTTCTCTAGAAATTATTAATTAAGTTAATCGACATATATATATATATATCATCGATTGGCCAGAACAGAGGATAACTTTATTCGTTGAATACACATATCAAGGAGTAAGTTTGAACAACGATGTTATAATCGTTAATTGGAATATTGAAAGACAAACACCATATATACAATTGATAGATAGATGTACATTCGCGTATAAATGCATACACAGAAAACACATGCATGGATTCATGCATTCATAGATATACACACGTAATTTATACCAAAAGCGAGTATTTCGTCCCTTTTTTTTTTTTTTTTTGTTTTTTTTTCTATCAAGCTAATTACGTTAGAAGCCTAACTAAGTATAAAGTAGCTTGGATTAAACAAAACTCGAGTACGTCTCGTTCACTAAAAGTGATGGTGGAAAGAAAGGAAAAGAAAAGAAAAGAAAAAAAGAAAAAAAAAGTGAAAAAGGGTAGGTCGCGTGGCATGAAAAAAAAAAAAAAAAAAGATACCACACGAATAAAGACGTGTCAAGATAAAGACTGTTATGCGTGTAAGTTAATTAAGACGAGTTAAACGAAACTACTTTAAACTAACCATCATCATCATCGTTAGGGTTTACCGATTGAGCGCGTATACAGTCAGAAAAAAAGAAAACGAAAGAGAGAGAGAAAGAGAGAGAGAAAGAGAGAGAGAGAGAGATAGAGATAGAGAGAGAGAGAGAGATATTTCGAGACATGGATGATTGTAAGAGAGTAGAATACTCGAGCGATAAATATAAAAAAGAAAAAAAAAAGAAAACTAAAAAAAGAAACCCACGAGAGAAAATAAAAGAAAGAAATAAGTGAATCGTGGAACGACGTTTTCGCAATGAAAAGGGTTGAACTGAGTATAAGTGGATGACTGAAAGGAGCGTGACTCGTGCGAGAACTGGAAGAGTATAGTTCCTGTAGTTGGAAAAAGAAAAAGAAAAAGAAAAAGAAGAAGAAGAAGAAGAGGTGGTTGAGGAATACGTTTTGGAGGGGTTGAAGAGCTCAGAGCTGAACGTGGAGAAGTTGGGGTGGCGAAGAAGAGGGGTGCCCGGCTTGTGCATTCGAAGGAGTTTAGCTTTTCTCGTATCAGATTTCGTTTCCACGAGTGGCGTCGAGTCGAGAGGTTTGTGTTGGCTCGGAGAAATGAGTCGAGTGCTCTGGGGAACCCTCACACTGTACTCTCTCTCTCTCTCTCTTTCTCTCTCTATTTTTCTCTTTCTCTCTATCGTATACTCGCTCTTACACATACACAAACAAACAAACAAATAAACACACGTATACAGAATCTAATACGAGCGTGTTTCTAGTGGCATATCCACCCACTGTCTTCCCTCTAAGGAATCGACCACCCACCCATCCACCCACCCATTCACCCACAATCTCATCCTACCAACAAAATTTATTCTACATATTAATAACGTCGCGTTTATATCAACAATTTTGATTAATATTAAATTGGCAATATTATGTGAATTCGCATTTGATTGAATTTTTTTGATAGGAAAGTTCAGAAATTTAACGAACAATGGTAAAAGGTCATCGACAAAAAAGGGTGGTGGGGGACAGAATGATTAATCGAATAAAGTTATATATTTTCTATCCAAGAAACATTTGAAATTGTTCCATCTTATTTGAAAATATCCCCGATCGTTATTTTAATTGTCAATACAAAATATTGTTAAATATATAATTATTTCTACTTTCACAAATCTAAAGTATATATTCTTTTTATTTTTGTTTTTGTTTTTAATCAAACTTGCGCGTCGAATACGTTTCAAATACTTCGTCAAATAGATTCGCAAAAGTGGATTCATTTCTTTTCGTTAATTTGACACTTTGCCATTTGTATCGTTGATAGTGCGTAGAATTAATTTACAACAACCCACTACTGGAATCGATTCTATACGTTTCGATACTATCATCACACTTCGAGTATTACATTAACACCTTTAACAACGATCAATCCAAACGAATAAAATGTATACGTATAAATATATCTCTGTATATGTGTGTGTGTGTATATATACATGTTTGTATCTATCATACGTAGATAGTACAATACGAGGGTAGAACAGAAGCCACGCAACAACAACTAAAAATGAAATAAGAGAAAGAGAAAGAGAAAAAGAGAAAGAGGGGCAGAGTAAAGAGGGGTCGGTGGGGGTGGTGGCAGCTCGGCTGGCTCGCGGCCACGAAATTGATGGAAAACCGTGGCGAATTAAC